GCAACATAGAGAGGCTCTAAGAGAACTTAGAAGTAACGAAAGCTTGATTATTAGCAAGCCGGATAAAGGTGACGGTATAGTTTTACTGGACAAAAGCGATTATATTGAGAAAATGGAAGGTATTTTGAGTGACCAAACCAAATTCCAATCTCTTGGTATTTCCAGCGACCTCAATGTAAGAGCGGAGAAACTAATGACCGACTCTCTCAAAAGACTGAACCAAATAGGAGTATTATCATCAGCCACGTATGAGTCCATGGAATCAACGGGTACCAATACTCCACGTCTTTACGGTCTACCCAAAGTGCACAAACCGGGTCTTCCTCTTCGCCCTGTTTTAGATATGTATAAGTCTCCATTTCATGGAACAGCGAAGTGGTTAGTGAAGATTCTCGGAACTTTTCACACAGAAGTCGTGCAACATAGAATTAGTGATGTCTTCGACTTTATTTCTAAAATATCCAAGACCAATGTGAGGTATAAACGCATGTTATCCATGGATGTATCATCACTATTCACTAATGTACCGCTTATGGAAACAGTAGATTACATTTGTCAAGAAATCACCGAAAGGTTATTGGACTTAGGAATTCCCTTTTATAGCCTCAAAGAATTACTTCTCAAATGCACAATGAATGTTCACTGTGTCTTCAATAATTTATACTACCGAAAAGTAGATGGAATAGCTATGGGTTCACCATTAGGCCCAATATAAGCTGACTTCTTTCTCGCAAAACTTGAAAACAGGAAATTCAAAGACATCATCAAGGAGTTTAATATGTATTGCCGATATGTTGATGATACATTCATCTTAGCTGATGGGAATGTAAACATAGACGAATTGTTGCTGAAATTCAACAACGTCCACCCTTCGCTTACTTTTACTTGTGAAGAGGAGCAGGATAATAAACTACATTTTCTGGATAAGTTGCTAAGTAGGAGAGAAGATGGGTCACTTGGGACAAGCGTGTATAGGAAAAGTACATTCACAGAGCAAGGCGCACACTTCCTTAGTTGCGTGCCCATTAAATATCAAAAAAATATTGTTAAATGTCTTACGAGCAGAGCAAGAAAGATATGTACGGAAGACCTCTTACAAAAGGAATTTGAATATATTCACGATTGCTTGACGGAGATGGGCTATGCAAGTAGTTTCATAAAGAAATATATGAAAACATCAGAGAGAAAAACTGAGACTATGACGGCACGTAAAAAACTCCTTTTTATCAAGTTAAAATTTAATGGTGACTTATCAAGTGAAATTTTATTCCAGAGACTTTCCAGGAGTATACGAAGAACGTTTTACGCAGCATACCTATGTTTGTCATTCTCTAGCCGACGAATTGATAGTGGTCATGCAGTCGAGAAAACGAGAGCTTTCAAAGTAATTCATCATATCCCACCGAATCTTTTCAATAGACTTCGTCTACTGCACACAGCTGAGGCGATAGACATTCGAACTATTGAACCTAAACTATGCATTCAAAAGAAGTTCGTACAGCCATTACTTTCCTTTGGCCTATTCAGACATAACCAACTGATGACTTCTACACCACCCCTTGTTTATATTTTCAACCCCTCTCTTATCATCCCTTAATCTTATCACATCCTCATTAAAAACGTGTTTCATTTACTTCCCTTACAATATAGCATTACTTAATCGCTTCATTTGTTTTTATTAGCCTTTATCGACTACTTCTACCTGAACATTGTTTGTTTAATCATGCTGTTTTTCATTATTCGTGTTATCACAGACTGCCTCATTTTTCATCCTTATTATTGATGAAACCATTATTATTATTATTATTATTATTATGAGTGGTTGCACAATTTATATTGACCATCTTATTTTCCGATAGACAAAACACCATGATTGGTTTATATTTGCATTTTTATGAGTAAAGTTGTGTATATTAGAGTTAAGCCAGATGAGATCTTATCGAAAATAAAATTGTTCGCTTTAATGTGTTGTTCTAAATAATGAAAAACTTTTGTATCAACTGGTCATCTAAACCGATAACATCTCCAAAGCTTGTAGAGCACAGTGAATTGTCTATGAAAAGACAAAGACTTCATACGATTTAAGAAATGAAACCGGTTAAACGGTCAAATTAACGAAAGAGTGAATCGGTCAAATCCGAAACACTTCAGCAAACCTAAATAATAAGGGCGAGAAGAGAAATATAATGAAATTTTAAGGGATGAAAAGTTACTCAACGAAGGACAATGAAACGAAAACAAATGAAGATTCTTATAATCTGTTAGATCCAAAATAATGAGTAAATAGCCATCACTAAGAACGATTTCGGGCCATGTTACTGAGACTCCAAAATTTGGTTTTATGGTGCTGAATGCAGTCAGATGGTCTACTCCTCCCTATGCAGCTCGAATGAGCAGCCAGACTTCAGGGCCATTTCTTAGATCCAGCTGCCCGACATGCAGATGATCTGAAGGCGGTTAGTTCCATAATCCGGGAAATACTTCCCCAAAAAACAATTGGAGTTCACGTAAGAAAAGCCATTAGTATCGGAAAATGAAACCCTCATGCTACGGAAACTTCTCGATGACTACTTAAGATAGTTTTAGGGAACGAAACAGAGAGAAGCACCATCCTCAACGACGCGTTCAAAATTAACGATAAAAGTTTAAAAATAAGGCCTGATTGGCCTTTAGAAGATAGAATCAAAAGAAGAGAAGCCGTGGCTGAACTAAAGACCAGGCTAGAGAAAGGTTAAAAAGACCTCAAGCTATTGGGTTTTCGGGTGGTGAGGTCTCGGAAACCGATGCTGGGGAGACTTCTCTTCATAAGCCGGATGAACACGTAGGTGTTTCGGTGTGCTATTCGAACGCATGTAGTCTTAGGAATAAGCTCGCCGAATTAGGAGAATTACCTGAAAGACTACAACCTGATGTGATTGCTATCACTGAGACATGGTTGTTAGTGGGTGTAGACTTCAATCCACTCATACCTGGGTACATCTGCATTCGAGCATACAGAGTAAGTAGTCGGAAAGGTGGGGGTTGCTCTATACATCCGCGATGACATAGGGATTAGGTCAGAAGCCATGACAGCGGCACCAGTGAAGCCGCAAGTTGCGTCATTAACTTGAACAAAAGCACTTTAACGATTGGAGTTATTTACAGAAGTCCTGCTAGCCAAGCTGATAACTTCGTTCCAGATCACTTGAGGGCGTGGGTAGTAGAAATAGGTGTCTGGTTGTTGGCGACTTTAATGCTCCACATATTAACTGGAGGGAATTAAACTCCACTAGTTTGTATACCTGTTTCAATAGGGAGTTCACATTGACAGTGCTTGAATGTGCACTCGTGCAACATATGCATGCACCAACACGGTATCACCCGGAACGTGATCCATCTACTCTAGACTTGGTATTAACACCAGAAGGAGGATGTTGGTGACATTAGGTGCCTTCCGCCGCTTGGCAGCAGTGACCACATAGTCATTGCTTTTACGTTTAAGATTCATTCTCTCATACACAGGTCAAAATCTGCTCGTCCAAACATTTGGAAAGCGGATATACAAGGGATCCGGAACGCAGCAACTGCAGTTAACTTGTCAGTAGATACAAGTCGGACTGTCGAGGAAGCTTGGGTAGGATTTAGGAATACACTAGATTGTGTCACTTCACCTTTTATACCTTGGTACACTCATCGAAAGCTATCGCACAAGCCACCTTGGATTACTAGTGAAATAAGGAGGCTATTAAGATGGCGAAAGAACTTATGGGACCTATTTATTATGACAGGAAGGAAAAGTTTCCAGAAAGACTACCGATTAGACGAGGGCATGTTCCAAATACTCTACGCAACATATGTCAGGCCTCATCTAGAATACTGCGTACAAGCGGCGGGTCCATGCTTCAAAAAGGAAGCACATATCCTGGAAAGAGTACAGAAAGTAGGAACGAAATTAGTTAGTGGTATCCCACACCTTCCTTATGATAAGAGGATGGAGCATTTAAATCTTTTTCCGTTGTCATACCGAAGGAAGAGGGGCAACTTAATTTTAGTATACCGTATACATAAGGGTGATTTAGGAAATGACCTTTCTTAAGTTTTCTCCCCCTCTAAGATACATTTACGGAGTCACCGCAAAAAGGTGCTCAAGCCGAGGACGATTAAAACACGTGCAGAATTTAGATTCACCCACAGAGTGGTCAACGACTGGAACTCCTTACCTGATTCAGTAGTAACAGCTCCATCGGTGAACGCGTTCAAAGAGAAGTTAGATCTCTGCAGAGATATATTTTGCAAGGATTAACACAGGCCACAAGAGCCTTCTATCCTTATCAACTGAATCTGAATCACCTTCAACAGTCACGCTTAAAGGCCCAACCTTAAGAGAATTCTAATCAAATTTAACCTGAAGGTCAGAAATGCGTTTTTACGGAAAATAAATATTTTCTCTACTTGAAATGAACACAGTATGTACTGAAATAACACTGGTGGTTCTCAAAAAGGAGCACTGGACGCTGAATCGAGGCTAGGGGTTGAAATAATACAGATGAGCTACTTCTATATATGCATAGAAGACGTACACAGTGATGAATTAGTGCCAGTTATGCTGATTAACCAGCACGAAATTCAGTTTGTGCAAATAATCAAAGAATTTCAGAATATTTTCAGAGTTTACTTACTATAGAATGCTAAAGCTAATTCGAAATTAGCGAGACTTAATTCCAAATTACAGTAGGCTTGAGACTGTAATTTAGCTTAATTTTTTGTTATGGACAGTTTGATACCTTATTAAGTATACCTAAATTAGCTCAGTGATTTCAGGTTTACCATAATCGTTACTCATTAACTTAATAACTGTGAACTTCAGCGTAAAATTAAGCATCAAGTGAGAAAAATTGACCTCAATACTTTTAAATATGCTAAGCGTCAAGAAAAAACTTAAATTTTAATGGCAAATGAATTCACGGAAACATATAACCAGTTAACGCAGAAACATATTATGACCTTGAATACGTATATACCTTTTCTTTAGCAGAGGCGTAAAAACTTACACTTCCCGCAATTCCGGAATACCCTAAGTGACCTAGACACTCAATTTACAATGCACCCTACCCATAATGTAAGCATTTAAGACAAAATACTGACTACTTTTAGGAAAGATGTCATTTATATTTCAATTTTCACATTTGCCCTTCAGATGAAAGCTGAATTACTTTTTATTGCATGCTATTTTTAGTGACCAACTGAAATTCTTCAACTTCCTAATAGGTGAGCCGTAACCAACATTATTCAAGTAACCGTGAGCCCATTCTATTCTCTACTTCATTCTTTGGTATGCAGTTGTTTTAAAATATGGTTTTTTAAATGTGAAATGACACAATAACTCTGAAGGTTGTACTCTTTAGTCTGACAATACAGGAACATGGTTTATGTACGCAGAAGTTGATTTCCATGACTGTGAAATAGAAGAGATGAAGAGAAAGGAGTCAAATCACGACGGCTTACTGAATTTTGTGGCGCAATGAGAAAAACTGAAACTAAGTGACATCTACGATTCCTAGCGTCTGGAAGAACTTTAGTGTAATATCCAGTTAGGTTATATTGAAACAGTTTACGCACTTTGAGAAATGTATGGAGTTAACAGGCATCGCAAATCTGGAGGTTCTTGCTACTGTTAGTAAAAACATTGTGCATGACAGTGAGAACAATCTCATTGAATGATTCAGTCATATTGCAGACGACGTACTGAAATTATGGAAAGCCCAGTGAAATGATCAGGAGTGAATTTTCCTGTCTGACTGTAAGTTAACAAAAACCTATTCAGAGGACGTTCCTATAATATTCTTGGACTTAATTTCTATTCTTGATATAATCAAAGATATTCTGAAAGAACAAATGATATGCTGTACCACAAACTGCCTTTTAAAATGATCACCTTATTAGACCAGAGCGTGTTGTTAACTAAAGACTAGGCCTTATTCGGTTCAACTTTTCGAAGTGCTTGTTAATTAATTGCCGATTGTCGAAAAGTCTTTTTTAATTACCGTTTTGAACATTCAAAGCATCGACAACTAAGAAATTTCCTTACACGTTCGGTGAACTAACAAATTATGTGTATAACTGTTGTACTTTTCCCATATCACTGTTTTAATCAAGTCGCTCATAGACCGGATTCGAGGGGACACAAAAAGCCTAAGTCTTGATGCATTCATTACGAGTGATTTCGAAAACGTTACAACACCCATCGTGGATGCTACCTTGCTGTAGCATCAAGACCCTACATCACACTTGAGCGTCTCATTTGTCGCATTCACCACCATAGTCATGCAATAGCCAATCAGTATTCAGTGACAGTCAGTGTCTTCATTCGAGGCAACTGAAGACAACGTAATCAAAGTACAGGACTCTCCACTAAGTCACTCTTCTAGGCTGCATATATTTCAGAATAGCTGCTTATAATGTTCAAGTCGATGGTATGGAAAGATTTTTTTATTCAACATACGAAGTCTAAATTATCGGGGACTATTTATACTGGACATGTGGGATGAGTTTAATGTTATTGTTGAGTGTAATTCTAGGGAACTGACACCTGAAATAGCGCTACAGCAGCCAGTATTATTAATATCACTCCTTCAACCCAAGTCCACTGGCGTATTTATTCACTAATGTTCGTAAACATTTTAGTTTGGCATGCCGCTGCACACAGGACGTTATTACACCTATACGAGTGCCAAAGTTGGCCTATATGTTGCACGGAAAATCCGCCACTTCAGAAGACGTAGGCACGAAAACTGCGTTAGCAGCAGCCGTCGAAAGGCGAGATACATATGGGTTAGCCCTAAAAGAGCCCACCTTGTCGTTCCACATGAATCACAACCATGAGAATAAACCTCGATACTGAAACACCTGACAGTGATAAAATGTCTCAACACTCAATAAATCAGTATTCCACTTAATTTGTGAGTACTAGTGATAAAGCACAAATTAAAAGGGCCCTGTTAGTTGGAAATATGCTCTGATAAGCAGAACAGTTCAGTAAAATAACAATCCAAGTTTATTCAATGAAAGGGATTAAGAACTTATCTAAACAATATGGCTGCATTATAAACTCGAAGAATTTGTGCTGACAGTACAACGGAAAGGTGCAAAATGGTATTGCTGCCATCATAATATAGGTTTCTTATATTTCCCAATGGTACTGGAGGCAGTTCGTTTGTGGACATGTCAAAACAAAAACTTAAACACTGGAAGGTACACTACAGGTGTCATAGAGAAAGGCAGAAGAACAAACGCCACTCTATGTCATTACCTCTACAAATACCTCAGGAACTGTAAAAGGGTAATATGGAGATATAAGTCTCTAACATAACTGTTTAAAAAGGACCACCAGATGTCAAGATAAATTTCTAAAAGTTTTAGATGAAGGCGAAATATGTGGAACGTGAACAATCATGGTGTCGAACAGAACGCATAATACTAAGCAAATCGACCACCTGAATTCATATCCGAAATCACCCTGAATCAAATTTACAGGTAATAATAATTAACACCTTATTGTTAAGCATGATTTGGTACGGACTGAGGTCTTCAAAATTTTCATATCATAACAAATTTACTCTTTTTACAAAAAAATAAAAGAAAATCGCCACAATCCTCAGTCTCTGATTGCTTAATCTGGGAAAAGCATTAAATCCAAGTTGCCATCCACTGTGATCTTTTGATATGATATTTAAAAGGATTGAGAAAAGCCATAAATTTAAGAGTTTTAAAATCGAGTGAGTTAGGATGATCTCATTTGATTGAATAAAATGAAAAGAGTTACTCGAAGAAACATATTTCTCGAATGAGATGATAATCGACTTTTCAATCGCCACAAGCTTATCAAGAAACCCTCTCTTCCTACGAATACACGTAAGTGTTCATATTTGCCCCAGCACTGATTGTCAGACACCAGTTAAAAAAATTAACAGAAAGGTTAATATGGACAAGCGACAGTTGAAGCCATAACACTCCACAATGAATTGATATATATGGATTAGAAAATAAATTGACTAAAATAATGTTAGGGTATTCAACAATACATCTGACCTACTGTAGCAATCTATCGCAAAATGCATACATGTTTATTTACTCTAACAATGTCATGAGGTGAGATTTCATCTGCACAATAATTGTTTCCAAAACGCCAACGTTATTAGATGTATCCAGTCATAAAAATTTTCAATCATATTATTAGTGCTAAAGTTTTTGGAGGCTGACGGTATCGAAGTTCGCGAATTGTACGGAGTATACTAACGCAAGATCTTATACCAACAACTTCTAAAGTATTCGTTTCTTGTGTACCAAATACAAAGCAAAACACCACAAATGATCGTCCGAAGTACGTGATATATTTCAGGACCAAATAGTAAATCGTATCGAGTGCTTAACTAGCTAGTGATCGTGCACAAATGTGACACGACGGAGTACCAAATGGCATGGATGCTTGACTGGAAGCCTTCAGCTAAGCAAGTCGACTTAAACAGTGAGGGTCAGCATCCAATGTCCAGTGATGATTGCTATGGCCAATAATTCTGGGGAATTATTTACCGCTACAAGTTCTACAAGATGGACTATTGCTTATGTTTTGAAATATATTTTGTCAGAGAGCATTGCTGTCATCCCCCTGGACAGTCGTATCACCTACCACAATCACATCTGATACAAGTTAACTATCCGTTACCGATGAAAGGAACCACTTACTATGCTACAGTTAATCATATATACATGAATATTCGGAACGCATACTTGCTATCATTATTATCATCAAGTGGGACTTCATTCTCTCTCTACAGCATCGACTGCAACATTATTAATAATATTGCGTAGGTACATATTTCGATGTAGTGAACGACTAGACATGTAGCCATTCTCAACTATGGAACACACCTCAATCTTCCAAAATCGCCAGAGAAGCAGCAGTTCTGTAGGGGTGAAAATGTAAGATTTACAATGTCTCCAGTTGTTTAACTGTCTTATCTAAAGGCATTATCGCAGAATGCAGGGATTTCATGTCTTTTATTTCTCACAAGTACATGTAAGGTACTGGTTATGTTGTTGCTATGCTACACTATGCAGGTCTCATCAAACGCAACATGCTTAATCACCCACCCACTTATCAGTAAACTACCTGATCTACAAGTACTGATAACAAAACGCAAGTAAAAAAGATTCAATTATTAAGGAATGTGCTCTGATGACCAAAATTTATATAAATAGAAAAAAATGTTAAGGTTATTTGGTCGAAAACGTTTATGGCTACTTATGTTGTTAGTATGATGTGAGTCTTACCACCACGAAGGAGCCTGGCAAGATAAGTACCCGCTAAATCAAAACTTAAAACACCTAAAGCATTCTCAGCTGGGGTAGATGTTTACTCGGTCAATACTAAATTAATTCACTGCCATATATATCTATTTTAGCCGTAGGTTCATTTTAGTGCCGTAGAAGGAGAAGCAACTACACTACAAATACAGAACCAGCAAATTGCTACAGTAAGCAAAGACACTGAGACAATTGATTAAAACTGCATAAAAAAAATTGTTATTAAACATGACAGATACACAATAATAAACGTATATATAATAATAATAATAATTTAACAACTTAATATTACCATTACACTTTCACACCTGCTGCCTGCCTAGATGATGCATTCACAAAAAAAGACGAAAAACTGAACACATAAACGTGTGTCTCATAAATAAAGGCTTTTATTTTGAAATTATCGAAAATCCATATGAATTGATGACCTGAGTTAATGTAGTCGTAGGTGACAAAGTGTTTCCTCTTTATTGGAAAAAAAAAGAGGAGAAGATGCAAACCTTAAAAATATCTATCGAATGAGAAGTGCAAAACGCCAACAAGCTAAAAAAAAGAGAAAGTATTCAAATAGAATAAGTACACCAAGTGCTAATGATGAGTCAGCAAACAATACCAGTAGTAGTAGCAGCAGAGAAACCGTTAATAAAATAACAATCACAGAAAGACAAATTATGAATCACAGTAACGCATAATATTGATGAGAGGATTAAATTAGTAGGACTGTTTGAATTATGATTACTGAGATATAACTGCAACGCACAAATTTTTTTAAAAAAAGGTGGAAAAAGTGACAGAAAATCGGCCTTATTACTACTCAGAGTCCACGAATGAATTGTTACTGTTTCAAGCAACAGTACTGACAGTTCCCTCCTATTTCTATTCTACTCTCTTTCCAACCGACACTGTTTGATACAAGGGTCATAGTAATACGGTAATGAAAAAAAATTCACAAAATTATAATCACATAACAAGAAAATGCCTATAAGAAACAAAATACAAAAGAGTCACAGACTGATTAAATAGAAATCAGAGTCGTTTGAATTAAAGCAAAAAACAAAAGAAAAGAAACTCGTATAAAGGAAAGAGGCAAGCACAAACCACTAATTAATTTAGACTCAATATTTTTTTCACTACCCATACACCCCAAAAAAATTCCTGAATGTTGTAAGAATGTGTTACTAAAAAAAAAAATCAAACTATTGCACAAAGCTACGATGGAAGATTTCCCTGCTATTCTTTAGATTTAAATATGTACTTGTATCACAAAGACATGATAATACATCCATAAGTGCATAATGGGTATTCTTATGATAAATGTACAAAGTGGTTTTTTGAAGGCGTATTGTCTGTCTGGCAGAGCAGAACAATAGGCTAGCTGAAAAGATGAAATAAGACAATGGCACGAATCAAAATGAAGTAAATTTGTTATAAGGAAAGCTACTGATTCAGTTACAATTGTGAATAAATCCATGCAAGAAGTACTCTTCTTCACCAAAAAAATAAATAAATAAAAATTATGATACATTATTCAATTTCCGTATAAAATCACACGTCTTCAAACCATTCATGCCATTTTTCTCTGAAGAGTCAGTTGACACTAGGAGTACGGTCTGACGAAGGCATTCAACAGCTTTTAACACTCGATCAGGTAAATGGTGTATCAGCATTTGTGGGTGAATTAGAATAGTTTTAAACTGTTGTGGATTAGACCAGACAGCTGAGACTGTTCTTCTAGTTTCACGATGACTTTTACAACTATGGGAAAGAAAAAAGAAAAGAGAAGTGGATTTTAATTTCAAGTAATAGCTCAATCAATACTCAAATAGTGACTACTATAGTTCAAAATTAGAACATCTGTTTCACTGAAATCAAAATAAACATCCTCATGATGCTTAGAGGTTATGTATGTGAAGGGGTATTTTTTCAAATGACAGTTATTTTTACACATGAGAATGATGACAGACGGAATTTTTGAATATACCTGTAATTTCCAAATTCCCATTTACGCATTTAGAAAAACAAAACAGATTGAGTGAAGGAATATATTCCTTTTCAATTAGCTCCTCATCATCGTCTCTACACTAATATATAGCTTTTTACATCAAAAGTCCCTACCAATCAAGTTGTTATTTTAGTTAATCAACTTTAGACATTGGGGGGGGGGGGAACTGAAATTAAAAGGTTAAAGGTTACCGAAACAATTAACTAATAGATTTGTTACAGGATTTCATCATCAGCTGACATCGGTTAGCGAACCATTGGAAAACTAACTGGGAGTACTGGACAGCTGTTCATGTTGTCCTAGTTTGGGACTCTTCATCAGTACGCATCCATAGCCACGGTTCGAACCCAGAACCTTCTGGATCGGGTCCCAGTAGCTTAATGGTCTACGAGCTCGCCTTGTAACCAGAAGGTCCTGGGTTCGAGCCCTGGGTCTGGGTGCGTACCGAAGAAGAGTCCAGAAATGGGACGAAACAGCTGCACAGTACTCCCAGTTAGTTTTCCAATGGTTCTCTAACCGATGTCAGCTTATGATGAAATCCTGCAACTAATCAATCAAATCCCTACAAACCAATACTCGAAAATAACTAATAGATGTTAATAACAAGATACCCAAGTTTCAAAGGAGGGTTGAAAATTCATTGGGGAATTCAAGATAAGCTGATTCTTAGGCGTTAGCAACAAATTATTACATGATCAAGAAATCTGTGTAATAATGATGACTAAGAAGAATAGGATAACTCAGTAGAATTACGTAAAATACGAACAAGTTGATAGAATTAACTGGAACTGTAAACTTAGTAAAGTAATAAAGTCAAAAGGTAGTTACAAAGGGAAGGGGAAAAAGTCGTCGCTGAAAACTACATATTATGTAATTGGCCATGGCAAAGAAAGGGGTATGTACAAATCTTTTTGAACACGCAGGATTTGCCTTGTTCAGATGAATTCCGATTGCCTCTGCTGCATGTAATAGTCGTATTCGTAGACCATGCGAGAAGTTGACTGATATACGATAAATAACTTTAAAAGCTTTGTTAGTGTCAATGTGATGTCCAGTATCGACGAGATGAACTAGTATTGTACTGCGTGTAGCTTTATTCAAACCTTTGCCAGACCAAGATGAGAGGTGTTCAGAAATTCGACGATGAACTCACTTGATTGTACGACCAAAGTAACTAGCTCCTCGTGGGCAGTTAAACTGGTAAATATACATGGAATAGGAGAACCAGGGCAGTATGTCTTGTGATAAGACCTCACCCGTGAATAGTAATCTTAGGAAGACTGATTCTTGGGGAACAGTTGACTCTTTACTTTCTCGGTTGATGTGTTTGTTCACGAATTTGGTGGGATATCCGTCTCTACTTATTAGACCACAAATATTACCGAATTCTTCGTTCAGTGTCTCATTTGAACAGATAACTCTAGCCCAGTGAACAAGACATCTAACCAGATTACGTTTGTACTATGCAGGTACGAAGCTTAGGAAGTGTGTATACTGTCCTGTTGATGTAAGAAAACTACATATTAGTATAGATCTGATGATAAGGAACTAACTGAAAAGGAATATATTTGGTCACTCAATCTGTTGTTTGTTTTTTTTTCAAAAAAAAATTTCCCGTGAACAATTTTTTAAACGTTTGCAAACCTAAAATACATTCAAAGGCAATCACAAATGAATACACATCTCATCTTCAAAGATTTCGACTCATTAATTTGGTGACCAAAGATCAAGGAACTGAAAACAACGTCAAGAACTTCAAAGCAAAAACATTGGTTCAGACTATGATATATATATATATATATATCTATATATATCGACTGCATGGTTGTTTTGACACCATTCACCTACATATGTAATCCATGTACACAGAAAGAGGCACAGGTGGGCCTTGCACTACCTTGGTGATTATACCTACAAGACAAAGGAGTACAATTTTTATTCTATCATGTACTCTTTTATATTTTCTAGTCTGTTGAAAAATTTTTTTACCTGAACGTTAATCACCTTAATCTTCTTCCTATTGTTGAATATTTCTTGTACTATACTAACATACTCTTTCTAGCTGAACTTTGTTTCCCTGTTGTTATTTTTTTCCCCAAGGATATTCATCTTATTATCCTATAAATTGTGAATGCCTTCAACTCTCAATGATTTAACTGCTTGCATTTTTCTGAACTTGTGCTACTCATTCATAGTCCCCCGGCAGTAACACGTTGACACTGCGATAAAAATATCTTCATACCCTAATTTTTGTTTTGTAATTTATATATGTTGGTGTTATTATTTAGGTTGAAAGCAGCGGAGAAAAGTGGGTGAAATAATATTTATGTGAGTTTAGATTAATTATCCTGCTATAATTGTTGTTGTCCTTGCTTCAATCATATTTTCAAGATGCTTGGATTAGAGGTTTGTACTGGGGTAAACAAAACAAACACAATAGGAATACTGAACTGCATAATCACGTTCGTTTTCAAAGTCGAAGTAACAAACAGTTCGCTAGTTTTTATAGCTGCTAGTGTCCAGAATGCAGTTTACTCTAGTGCCAGCATATAGCGGAATTAGTCAGAGAATTAAAGTATACATAGAAATATATATATATATATATATATATATACATATATATATAACCTTTAAACAGGCATATTTTATCACTAGACTCAAAGATATATTACCGTTGCACGCATTGCAATGTATATTATTGCAGGCTATAACTGTAAGGCGTATTTGTGTGTATGTGCGCAAATACGTATGTTAGTCCGATACAGTTGATATATATATATATATATATATATATATATATATATATATTGCGATTTCAATAGTCTAACAATTCCTGACAATAATTTAAACTCATTTTAGGGTATAAAAACCTAAGAGGAGAAATAAACGCACTTACAGTGATACATACACACAACGACAGAAAATGGAATTCGAGCAGAAAAATAAAATGACCGGAACATACAACGACTGGTTGGTACTCATAAAATTCAATTCAGATAATGTCAATATTCGCAGGACTTAAGGCATTTAAAAGTAGACGAAGTTAAATTTTCACACAAATATATCCAACAGTTCATATTACACGTCTTGATGAATAAGAAAAAGTGAAATCTGCAGTACGTCTCCCTATAAGCATTCACTTCGTTCGATAAATTAATAACCTCTATATTTTTTGATTTGGAAGTACCCTCTAAGGTTATATTGTGTTGGTAGAACTTCTACTGAAAGTCTATCCAATACATCTACGGTCAGTTTCAAATTCACCTCTCAAGAAACCTAGAAGATATATACAGATATTAGAACAAGACATGTAAGCGAACAATATTGTTTTCAATTAGATCTTCTTCAGGCTTTACTCTAATTTACATAGATTTATATATAAAATTTTAACCAATGACGGTGATTTTGGGAATCAAATAATAATCTTAATAATCTCAATAATAATAATAATAATGTGGTAAAGTAATAGAGAAAACTGATTCTTATTTTCTTTATGTTGATGATACGTTCATTATTCTTGATGTGAAAACTGACAAGAATGAAATGTTAAAAAAGTTTAATGATTCACATCCATCGCTCATCTTCACTTGTGAAGAAGAACATGATGGTGGATTACATTTTCCTGACGTCCAATTGAGCAGAAGAGAGGATGGTTCACTCAAGAGAGATGTCTATAGAAAACCTACATCTGTAGGACAATATACACACTTCCTCAGTTTTGTACCAATCCGATATAAAATCAATTTGGTCAGATGCCTTACGAATAGAGCAAGACGTATTTGTACAGATGACTCCCTAGAAAATGAGCTAGGATATATCCAAAATACGCTGGTCCAAATGGGTTATCCTAGTAGATTTGTTAGGAGACACATGAATACCAGGTACAACAAAGAAAAACTGACAACAGTTAAAAAGAAAGAACTGTTCATGAAACTTCAATTTAATGGGGACGTGGCTAGTGAAGTCTTACATCTGAGATTATCGAGAGCGATAAAACGGACTTATACTGCCGCCACCCTTTGTTTGTCATTTTCCAGCCGACCAATTTTGATTGCTCAAGTGAAAGATAAGCTACCTAGTTGTGCCACTTCGATGTGTATCTATAAATTTAGTTGCTCCTGTGGAGAAAGCTATATAGGGCGAACAACTAGACAGCTCAACAAACGCATTAATGAGCATCTTCCTTCATGGTTCGGAAAAGGTCAAATAAAATCCATACGAAGTTCTATTTTGGCTCATTTGATTGATAGCGGTCACCAAGTGGACAAAAATAGTGCTTTCAAAGTTATCTATCGCATTCCATCGAGTCTTTCGAATGGAATCAGAACCCGTCTTTTACACCTAGCCGAAGCTATGGGAATTCGAGAGAACAATCCTAGTCTTTGCATACAAAAGAAGTTTGTTCTACCTTTGTCTCTCCCTTGGCCTAGGTGAATTGTATTCAAAACCCTCCCACCCTTTCTTATTTTCCACCTCCTTCGTACTTTTATAATATTTATTTAAACTCTGATTATCGTTCCACTTCACCTTTTAAGATTTGACCCAATTTATTTATACACTTATATACATATACTATCTTTGTTATTCTTATCACCTGCATAAACCTTATTATCAATATTTTGTTATCATTATAATCATCGTTATTAACTACGTTCAAAACATTTACCACATTATTATTAAGACTATTAAGATTATTATTTGATTCCCAAAATCACCGTCATTGGTTAAAATTTTATATATAAATCTATGTAAATTAGAGTAAAGCCTGAAGAAGATCTAATTGAAAACAATATTGTTCGCTTATATGTCTTGTTCTAATATTATAAATGGGAATATTTAAAGATTTGATATACAGATATACTGCAGAGGAAACTTTGGAAATTCCCCTAAATACTACAAATTTAATGCATCATCTATGCAAGCTACTCAGTTCCAATTTAAAATATTGTAAATGCAATTTCAGGAATCATTTAGTTCAGTTACATCAACTGGAAGCACAGCACAAGTGTTCAAAAATGTTCAATGAAAGTATGAAATTAAGGTAGAAACGTGAAAAAGATTACAAAATTCAAACTAATCCTTGAAATTAACAGTAAAATAAGACAAAAGAATGTAGACACAGAATAGTATAAATGCGTGACAACAAGAGTATGATGTGTGATCCATTTCGCGACTAAACCATGCTGCTAACAGTTCCATGATGAATATGAACATAACAATAGATACCATTAGGTTATTGAATCAATTTTGTTCCAGTAAACTATAACTTACCATGAATTTTTTCTACTCGACTTTGCTGAGAGCAATCGTTCCAGACCAGAATTATGAATTTTTCGGCCGTCTTTTACATCTTCTTTGAAACTATTTTCATTCATCATAGGACTAGTGGAACTGTCATCATCATCACTTTGATCAAGATCAACATCGACTAGATGGAGAACTAAACCACCGAATACACCATCTGAGAGGTCGTATGACTGGCACGACTGAAGTTCATCAGTAGTGGACAAATCGGCTTTGTCATTTGAAGATTGTACCTGTGAAGTGGACTCTGTAGACTGTATATTAGTCTGTGGAAGCACACTATCAGGATTGATCCAACAGAGAAGTGAACGTGGACCAGGACGAAATCGGTTAGACTGCACAGTTCGATAGGTACTTGTGCTAGCTATAAAAATGACATGCAATTTCAAAAAATTAATCCAAATTAGACAGGATAGAGCAATGCACTAAGTCAATGCAAAATTCAAAAACTAAAAAGAGCGCATACACATACGCTGAAACAATCAATGGTGAGTTATGTAGAAAATGTTGAAATGATTTGAAGCCTTAGATGAAACAATGGATACAGGGTTCCAGGCTCCATCACACATAGGCACCTTGGAATGATGAATCCCAGAGAGGACGAAACGTGCATCCACTGCTGGTCAACATCAACTAAAAGGCATTCATAAACAATAATTCTTCTCGAGACAGACTATTCTGTAATATCTACCCGGATCTAACAAACATTTTGTGTTACTGGATTGCAAATTACCAAGCAGAATATTTTTGTCTATGCTACCGGTGTAATTGTAGGACACAGCATTAGATTTCAACATTGGATGGTATATATATATATATACCGTATTTTTTAATGTTTTTTATTCCTTCACGTTCCCAGTGGAACATAGGGCTTCGAGCTAGAGGCTTGAAGTTTCTGTAGCAGTGTTTATTTTTACAGGATGGCGTTGCTAGCCCCATGCCCAACCTTCCCTCTTTGCCATTTCTATTACCAGTTTAGCGAGGTAAAGGAGTGAGTCGGCCGGGGATCGAACCCCGGACCATGTGCATGGTCGGCGAGCGTCTTAACCACTGTGCCACCGACGCACTTATATACCGTATTATCTAACAGAAAATCAACTACTGCACAGTGTAAATAAATTTGGCTGCTTATAAAATAAAAATGTGTCAACTACCTTTGATGAGCTACACCTAGCAAAAAGTACTTCTTAGAAACACCACAGTAGCTGTAATCACTCAATGAGCATTTCGAATTTATTCGACTGCTGTAGCTTTAAATAAACATATAATATTGAAATATTTCCCAAAATAATGCTTAGACAAACTTATGCATTGTACAACTCTTACCTGAATTTGACGAATTCTCCTGCGATGAAAGACAAACACGCATTTCATTATCATCGTGTGCAAGTTGTGGAATCGACTGAATCAAGCGTTCCTGTGTCGTTGCATCTAGCAGGAGAGTATCATTTCCAACAGTTGTTACAGACTCGCTTGGAAAACAATCCGGAAAACACCATTTGAATAAATAACGTCGTAAGCACACGAACAATCCACGACTTAACAGACGATGCTTAGGTACTTTACACGCTGATAAGGCATCCAATAAACGCCATTTGAAATCAGACATTGTCGATCGATTCATACGTGCGAAAATATCGTATCCATATATAATGGACAGTAAAAATGGTTTGCAATAGTCTGCTAATTCTTGGCTATTCATTGAAAAAGGAATTAAAGGGAATTGATTTTGAGAGAAGTTAGTGATTCACACATACTGAACAAAATATTTCTCAGATTAACTGAGAAAAAAAGCTGTTAAATTAGCTTCATCTGAAGCGAAGACTTGTATCTCTTACTACACAATATAAACAACATAGTTTTAGAACGTGTATTACCACCTGATTGGTGCCGAGGAGCACAACTTCTACATGACTAGAAGTTCGCATACACCTGGTGACTTATATCGCCTACGTATGATTCTGACTTTCCATCACACTGCGTTACTGGCTTAACAAAACCCAGAATGTGATATTCACTCCACTATGGATTTTTAAAGTACGACTCTCACGTTTGTAAACTTGTCTTGTAACAGTAGAAAACCTGAGACTTGGTAAGGGAATGTTTATTTGGCTGGATTCAACACAGAACTTGGCACCGAAGTGCAGCAGTTCGAGTTGCCACGTTCCAAAGAGCACACAAAGGTAGACAAGAAAATGAGTGAAGAGAATCAATACAGTTTTGACAAGTATAAGAGTGAAACAGAATGAGTAATGGTAGAAAGGTATATGAAAGATTACAGAGACTGAATACATCTGCGTAAGCCATTGACAACGATTTTGAGCCATGTCACCTATTGTCTCCAGCCATTGATTCTTAGAGTCCCGAGGGCGGGCCCCAACCCGGAAGTCTGCATCTCCCTACCTGACTCAGTTTAACTGTCAGGGATTTCATGAATTAATGCCATGTTTTTGTTTGGCCACCACTTTTAAAAAAAAAAGAATGTTTATTCTGAAATAGGCATGGCTGTATAGCGAAATTATGTACACCTTATCTTCAAATCACCATCTGCACAGATCTTCTGTGTTGTGCTATCTCTGGCCTTACCTCGTATTGTATTTCATTTATTTTCTTTTTCAGCAACGCTGAATCGTTTGCGTTCTCTGACGTCAAATCTATATCCCTGCTACTTGATATTTTTATGCTACTACCGATAAATCTTACCAGCAGCACACGCCACAGTACGACTGAGTGATATGTTATAAAATCACGAAAAGTACTCATTAGGATATGTAGAAAAGAAAAATTCGTCCCCTGTTTCGATTATTACATTTCTTCTTGCTCCTCATTTCTATACCCTTTTTTGATAATTAATTCGCTCTTTGAGCTTTCCGTCTTATTACGCAATCCTACATCCATGTTTATTCATCTTCGCCATAGTATTTCGATAAACACCTTACAACTTGCATTCTCTGTACTAATCACTACATATTTTACGTGTAAGACTATTGGACAAGTTTATGAAAAAAATGTGACTGTAAAACTACAGTATAGGGAATCGCGGAAAAGAGCTGCTTTGCTGAATCCTCCGTTTTATTGATTCACATGTTATAACTGATTAAAAATGCCCATTTTAGTCTTAAATATGCACAACTTTTAAACGATAAGACATGAAATCGTGGCCATATAACAAGAAATAAAAGTCTTTAGTATCAAGCTTTCTTCAATAGTACAACCAATGCAAAAAAAATAAAAATGATTACAATCATCAACAGACAGGGAATTCGCTTTGTTGAACCTAGAAACATTCAAGGTATGCAACCAAACTTGTGTGCACACGGACAAGCAAATGCAAATAAATAATCATGATGTGACAAGCGATTGAGGAGTGATTTCTGATTAAGTATAGTAAACAGTAGTGAATAACCTATTGTACAAAATTCCTTGTTATTGTAGTCTCTTATTTTTCACTAACTTAAGTGCACTTAACTTTCGAAAACCAGTTTTTAACATATTTATTATTATTACCTCCCTTGAGTTCCGAATAGAACATAGGGGCTTGAACAACACATCTCCACTTTGTCCTATCTACTGCCGTCCTCTTCACCTGGGTCAACAATTGCCCACAATCTCTCATCTCCTCTCCTTACGATCCCTTTCATGTTACGCTCGCACCAATGACCCACTCGTCATTCCCTATTCGGTGTTGCACTCGAGGGCCTGGCGCGCGATGTTATTCGACGGTTTCATCAATGTATGCCCAATCCACCTCCATTTTCTCCTACATATTTGTTGTTACTAATTTTTTCTGGCCATTTGATCTTCAGTATGGAGCCAGCGAAGACAGCTGTTGGTGAAAGTCTGCAACCTGTTGGAAATCCTCTTCATTACACGCCAAGTTTCTGAAGGACCGACTTGAATCTCATTCCTTATACTGGCTGAGTGCAGAAGAATTCCAAACTGGTTTCAGGTTGGTGAAGGCGTATCTTGCCTTTCCGATTCTGACCTGCTTTGACATCTTCATCCATCCCACTGGCCTTTAGTTGAGGCGATACTTCCTAGATAAGTGAAGGAGGCAACCTCTGTTTAATCTCTCACGCTGATGATTGGTGCGGGTTGCTGGGTGGTATCATATGTTCACCACCTCCGTCTTCTCTGTATTTACTTGGAGTCCTGTCTGTGATGGCTGCTTCTTCAGCCTGTTAGTTGCTTTTCGCCTGTAAGTCTTCGAGTTTGTGTGACATTAGACATATATCATTTGCGAAATCCAGATCTTCTAGAGTCTTCTTATCGGTGGTCCAGCGTACTCCTGTCTCCTCGCTCCCCACAGTCTGACGCAAAATTCAGTCCACCACAATTAAAAATATCATCGGTGATAATAAACAGCCAGCTTCTCTTACTCCTGTGTTGAAAACAAACTCCTTTATTTGTATACTTGTGTTTCGTTAAATATATTGTGTGAGACATCAGTTAATTTACTCTCCATTCTATGTAACAAACATCTGTATTATCACAAAATCCCACACGTGTTTATACTTATACTTTGATCATATATTTAATTACATTGATTGTAGACAGTTGAAGGGAATACAATTAATCGAAATCATATCTTGTCACGTACTGGTTGAACCAAAAAAGCCTATGGAAATCAATATGGTTAAACACTACAAGATATAAGTCTAATTACTGAATAACAAAAAATATATCCCACGAATTGAAACTGTTCGCTACACAGTGTTTAATCCATATGTCACTTTAAATGTTATGTGAAAAATAATTAATTTCATGGTACAAACAGATGCGTCGGTGGCACAGCGGTAGAATGCTCACCAACCACTCATGTCGCCTGGGGTTCGATCCACGGCCACCGACGCACTCCTCTACCTCACTAAGCCAATAATAAGACTGATAAACAGGGAAGGTTGAACATGAGACTAGCGATTCCATCCCGCAAAAATAAACACCATTGCTACCGAAACTTCAAGCCTCTAGTTTTAAGCCGTATATTCCACTGGGAACATAAAGGATAATAAAAAAACATGCATAAGTTGAATCTTTTTGTTACACACTAACCACATTACTTTACATTCAGAATTGAAGTAAAACAACAATAACACGTAATCCTTAAAACTGAAGTAAAGTTAATATGGTGTAATTATAGTTGTGAAGCTTAGAAAGATATGCTTTATCACAATTTAAGCCAATACGGTGTTCGTGTTAGACAGTAATTACTTCATTTTTTCCTGCTGGTTTTTCCACCTATCTTAATATTACACATGTTTCAAATTACATGACAGTTTGTTTTTTCAAAAGAATAGACACGGAACAAAGAGTACTCTTTTCGATAAATTCATCATCAGGTTCTACAATTACATATACATTATAATGAATGAATGAATAGGGTCTTATGAACGACATTCATAGCTTCGTTCCCATCAATTACAAAAGAAATTTAGTGAAGACCCTTAGCCACAGAGTTACACCTATATGCTCTGAAGAAGTAATTAAAGATGAATTAAGCATGGTATATGATACTTTAATCGAAAACGGTTATCCTGACAGATTTATCAAGAAACATATAACAAAGAAAGCCGAAAAGGACTACCCACTATCTGTTAACAAGAAGCCACTTTATGTACGACTACAATACATGGGCGATAAACCAGGCGAGTTAATTACGAAGAAATTAAGAAAATCAGTTCAAAGAGCCTTTAATGCTGGCGAACTACACGTATTATTCTCTACACAATCGATGGTGCTACCTCGACTGAAACACTAAGTACCTAGAGTAATCACTTCAAATTGTACCTACCAATTCAACTGCGCTTGTGATGGAGCGAGGTATATCGGCCGTTGCTCTAGGAACTTGATTTGTCGAGCTCAAGAACATCACCCAGTATGGTTAAGTTAAGGTGAAATGAAAACCATTAACAGCTCGATATTAGACCATCTGGTGCAAACCGGTCACATAGCCAGCGTAGAAGAATCCTTCTCTATCATCTACCGGGTGCCAAATAAATTGCCAAAAACATCGAAGCACCGCATGCTCCAAACAGCGGAGGCTATTGCAATTCGCCTCAAACAACCAGTGCTTTGTGTTCAAAAGAAACAAGTTCAGCCCTTACTACTGCCCTGGCCCTCAGTAGAGACTATAAACTCATGAATTTGTACTATTACCTTTCCTGATTCTCCTGACATTCAGTTTATTTTATGTTGATGCTGTTCAGCTGTAATTTATCAATATTATGGATTTGATGTTATTTAAACAACGTTAATGTCGTTCATAAGACTAATTCACTCATTCATTATAATGTATATATAATTGTAGAACCTGATGATGAATTCATCGAAAAGAGTACTCTTTGTTCCGTGTCCATTCTTTTGAAAATTTTAATGGGCATTTTTAATCAGTTTGTTTTTTCTTAAAATATAGGTATACTGGAAGACGACATGACGACAGAAAACTACTGTTGAAGGCTATTAGAAGACTGATAATATCCCATCTGTATTCATGGCCTACTTCCCCCACCCCACCCCGCCGACGCGTTTCAGATTGGTAGGGATAAATTTAAATTCAACCGATGAATTCCGAAAAAAAACTTTAAGCAGGAAATAAAAATTAGAATCCAGAATATAACACCATGTTGCTTCTAATCATCACTGATGATATAGGAGGTTTCAGTGGATAATCTCGAGTCTGGACTATTAAATCAGAAATCCGAT